AAGTCTGAGCAGCGATGACAGTTTCATGATGTTCCTTTAGTTCCTTTTATACACCAGAAATGGTTAAGAACCACAAAGTAGAGGGGGGGGCTTTTTTCAATGCCTGTCTATAAGTGCAATGAAGAAAGAAGTCAACACTTTTTAATTTATTCCCAACCCTTTTAATTGAAATTAGTTTGCAAATGAGTCAGTAAAAGACATTGCAGGTATGGAAAACATAATACCAAAAAAAAAGCACTAGACATTTATGTTAAGATTCATCTGGAGGGGTAATTCATTTTCAACTCATTGACAGGGGCAATTTGGAAATGGAGGTCAGTCATCAATCACTGTGGAAAGAGAGCTTCTACTGCCAGCCCTTTCCATTTAGGCTCCAGAATAGCACATCCCATGAGCCAGAGATTTGCTTTATTCTGAAGGAGGTTTGTACAATACATGGCTTTCAAGCTGTGTCCTCTGTAACTGCATACTGTACAGAGGACACAGAAAAATTATGCCTATAGTTGAACCCAAGGGAAACTCCTAAGCACCTTGTTGATTAGTGTTCTGCTCATCAAAATAGTGACTTTAAAACATGCTCTTCAAATCCATCTCTTAGAGGATCTTATTATAAGATATTTGTCTCATGTAGTGGGCAGTTGTTACCCTCCCCAATGTTTTAGCAACATTTTCTTGCACAACAAAACTAAATTTACTCAGAATATGAAAATGCTATTAATATCACTACTAGTTCAGAAATCTGCAAGAGCTAGCGTATACTCATTCAAAGGTGTTGCTTTTAAAAGAAAAAAGAACAACAATTAGACAACTTCTGTTAATAGTCTTCTAAAGATAAAATAGACAACATACACTGTACATGTGACTCAAAAATGTAGAGATTGTATAAACCTTGTATATAGCAAAATAAAACATATCAAAATAACACATCCTACACTATTCTAATAGGTAATAGGTTGAAAAGAATTCCTAAAGTTTTAAACTTACTGATGTACTTACAATATGTATAAACAGTACACTTGACACAAACAAAACAAGAAATGCCAGTGAAACTTAATAGAATATTCATAGAATGTACTATCAGAGTATAGTCCTTGACTGGAATTCACTTAAAAAACAGTCCAAACAATTAAAGATAAGGAAAGATACTGTCCCACAAATGCTTATTTTTGCTTATCTTGAAATCTTGGAACAGTAGGTTACTGCCAAGGCAACTGAAATCAGGTATGGTGCAGAAAACCTATTAGCTATAGCAACGGGTTTGCACTGTTGATATGCACGGCTTCAAACACTGGATTTGGACAACTGAAAAAAAAACTATTAAAACAGTTTAAAAAATAGCACTGTGCTGTAATCATGACCGATAACATTGACAGAGACTATAAATCAAAAAGTTTTGCTGAGCACCACCATGTCACACTTTACAAGGAAAGGTATCAGGTTAAATCCTGTCATAGATGAGTAAGGAAGGGATGCAAAGTGATCTACTGTACTTTCATACATCCTGAATATCTCACACACCTCTTGAGCTTGACTGAAAATCTTTACTGCAACTTAATTAAAAGGGGGTTTAACAGCTTGCTGTAGCCCAAACAGTCAAATCCACCCAAAGGAAAGAGAAAGACGTGTTTTTGTCCTATGTCTTCTTAAGGGAACCGAAGATCAGTTCTGCCTTCTCCTAATTATTTTTCTGCTCACCAGTGTGCATATCTGCAGTATGTGGAGGGGATCTACAGTATGCTTGTCCGATTCGATATTATGTAGATCCTCAGCTCAAAAATGTAAATAAGCATTCACTGAATCTCATACTCAGTGCCCCAGACACTATAAGGCAGTAGGTTACATAAATATAGTATAAACTCTGACTGCAACAGTAGCCATCCAGGAAAACAAAGAAAAGATATAGTATATTGATGCCTTAAACTACAGACACTTTCCAATCACATCACATGAATAGTGAAAAACAGATTAGCAAAAATAATGGTTATCAGTGAAAGGGGCTGCCTACAGGGGGCCATGTGAGCAATCTAGTTTATGTACTGTAACTGGACAAAAATGGTTAAATGCAGTTGTCATCATTGTCATGTGTATTTTGCTGCTTTTTCTCACTCAATCTGACATGTTTACACCTTAGCTCAGCATTAAAAACAAGCTCAACACAAAAAAATATAAACATGCCCCACTGTTAGAATTACTACAGATTTGCAGATAGAACTGCTTGCGTAAAGAGATTTAGTGTTTAGTGTTTAGTGCTGCAGGCTATCCAATTCCCCGAAGATTGATTAATACGATTGGCAGATCAGGTAAACATATTGTATGTTGACAAAATCTTTCTTTACAATAGGGTTGATGAATGGAAGTGAAATACATACACAGCAAATTGTTTTAAATCAATACACATGGGGCGTCACTATACAGGTGGGGACTTGTATGGGAAAAGAAAGAATTGTGAAGAATTAATAAACTGACAGTAATCTGTATGAACGTTTGTGAAATGCTTGAGCATTAACCCACGCTCAGCAATGTAAATTATCATGAATTGCAATAGATTATTTTAAACTCTTTTAACACTCAAGCTGTTTTAACTGTTTTTGTAATTTAATATTCTAAGCTTTAGGTCATTATAACCTCACAGTTTTTGGCTGATTTATATACTGTATATTGAGAGAAAGTTAATGAATATTATGAAATGAGATGCAAAGGGTACAGACATTTATTTACAAAAAGGTATTCTTATTGTTGTTCAGTCACTCTGTTTTTTTATTTAACAACTAGGGTATGATAATTCAGAATAAATTCTAAGCTCCAATAAGGATAACTGTACATTTTTATAACAGCTTTAATGACAGAGTCTACAGCTATCTGTAGCAAATTATGCATTTCTCATTGGTGCATACTCAAAGAGCAATTAAATTATAATTAATGAAGGAGACTTTTTTGCATTTGCTGTAAAAACAATTAACAGTATCACCCATTTTGCTTTTTAAATGTTTTAATGATCTAAGCAATGCTTTTCAGTGGGTTGTGGCATACTAATAGGCATAGAGAGAATAATTCTAAAGTTTGAATGAGACCTAAAAATGTATTAAATACATTCTTCCTCTTACATGCTGTTTGTACGTCATTTCATCAGATCCTCCTAAGGGGCCATGTACAGTTTTTCTTTGCCAATGATCTGAGGTTTTGGAAAAGTGTCCAGATATGATGCATTTGTAGCTTGGTATTTTAGGCAAATCCTGTTGATCTTATTTCTGATCTATACAGAGGATAGCATCTATATACAGTAGATAATATTTTAATCAAAACAGCAAGAAATGTGCACTGCAATTACTGTTAAAAAGAAATAATGGTATGCAAATTAAAATTATTCTGCAGAATTAAAAGAAAGAAATAACTCACTACCAATGAAAATCAAAGCAAAAATAAATTGTATGCTTACATTTTGGAGGAAAACTGGGAATTGGAAAATGTATCTGCCGTCACTTAAATGACTGCAAGAAGAATGCTGCCATGCAGTGTGAGTTTTTGTTTTTGCTTTTTTTGTTCGGTTTTTGTTTTTGCTTTATAACCAGGGCTTGTGCATCATAAGTTTAAAACAAATTTTAAAGAATTCAACAACTGAACAAGCAAAGTAATGAAATTATACCAAAAACATCATTCACACAAAACGCAACAGCAAAACCAGAAAGGTGTTGAGACTTAAAACCTTTAACAAAGCTGATCACCTTGCACAAAGGAAATTCATTCTAAATACTCAACTGTAGCATTTGTAATGGTATGCAATATACCAAATGCACACCACTTCACTTTAAAACACTTTACTTCTGTAGATTAAGATGCAGCTGCTCCGGCAACTCTCCTCCCTCACTGCTAAAAGATGCATTTAATGTAAGTGTACTGCAGCCTCATTGATCTTACACCTGACCCAGCATCACACAGAAAAGAACAGTTAGCTTGGGAAAGGAATTCTAAAATATAATACCCTCAACAGGTACACATAAACTGGAGATAATCATGTACACGCCCACTTGCGTAGCACTCAAACAAAATTCCAGAAACATAAATGTCAGCCCTCTCACTGTGCTCTTTAGCAGTTTGCCAGTTTGTAAGAAACATGCGCGGCTGTAAACAAGAATTGAAATAAGGGAAAGAGAAAGAGATTTGTCTTCTCCCAACACTGCTATTAGCCTGATAGCCGAGTGCAAATTAAATGGGTTGCCACAGTGGAAGGATGCTAAGTGCTTCTTCTCTGGAAAACAAAAAAAGCTAAGAGACCGGAAAATGCATTGACTGTCTATCAATTAAAAATACATGCTTTGGTCAAACGTGAAATGTCACACAAACGCACATGAGAAGACATGAGCTGAGTCTTAGGTAATAAAGGTTAAATCAAAAGAATGTGATGCAAATAGAAAAGTTTTGCTCTGCTTTTGTATTCATGTATTTATAGATTTCTTAAATTTTGGACATCTATTACAGTATTTTAATAAAATATCAAGATCAGACAATGAAAGACACCTCATTTCATACTTTAGATAATGTTAAAGTTTGGTTATAATCTTACCTTTTACATTTTTTTTTACTACCATTGACAGAAAAAATAGAAACAAAAACCAAAGCATTTTCCTTCCTCTTACAGCTTTCTTTGTCTTGACTTTCGTATCCATGTAACATGAAATCAGGGGATTTTTACAGTGTCACTTACAGTAGGTAACTGCAAATGTCGACTTGCAACAATGTAGTTTTTTAGGTATCACCATAGCAAGAAAGGAATGTAAGAAATAACATTAATAAAAACATCAGAACCCACCCAGGCAGGTGCACATTCTAACTGCCCTATTAGATGTGTGCAAAAAAGTTGACATGAGTTGAGACTTTGCTCTTTCCTGTCTGCGTGTTAAGAGAGACGGTATGGCAACACTGAAAGAATGCTCAAAATCACAAGACGAAGCACAAGAAAGGAGAAAGAGCTGAAGGGAAAAAAATAATAATTCCTGTCTTACCTGTAAGGCGTCGGAATGTGGCTGGGGCTCATCTGCTTTCAGGAACACTTGCTGCCCCCTTCTGAAAAATTGAATGACCGCAATCAGAATGTGCTGCAGTATCAAAACCATGCTTGAGCTTTTGCTTTCTATTACTACTATCTTTCTGTCTCTGGCTTTCTGTCAGTGGCAGTGGAGAGAGTGTCTATATACACAAGCGCACACACTCTCCTTATCTCTGCCTCTCTCTCTTTCGCTGTGAGTGTGTCTCAGTGTTTGGGTTTTTTTTTCCTAGTGACTCTTTTTGAAGCCACATCCTACATATCAAAGCTGGTCCCTCCCTCCATCTCCTCTCAGTGGCTGGTGTGTCATCTACACCTGCTTCCCATAGCGGTTGAGCAGACAGCCTCCCCTTGTCAAAGGCAAAGCAAGAGGGCAGAAGGGCTGCTGCAGGAGCCACACTCTTATGCAGAATGACTGTGGAAGTGCTGGGGATTGGAGTCTCCTCTGGGTCCCAGTGCCTGCCCTTCAACAAGTTGTAGGACAATTTTCCTTGTATGCTCTGCAACTGAGTAAATAGTCTCAGAAACACACCAGAGAAAGAAGCCACTTTTTTTCCTTCACTTGTTTTCCCAGTTGGGTTTAGAATGCATGAGTTATTTATCTGTGCTAAGAAAATATTTCAGATGAAACCCATTTTTCAAATGACAGGGTGAGAATCATGATTACACTAAAGCAAGGACCAACTCTGGTCTAGAAAAATGCCAGTCCACAGGGTTTGGCTAAAAACAATTAATCCATAGTTTCTAAAAGCTTCACAAACTTAACTGTGACCAACTGTGACCTTCTGCTCTCGGAGACCAGATTTTCCTTATTGGTACACATTTACCAAATTGGTCACCAGCTTCAAGTGTTCTCCAATTTGTTCTTTACAAATTACTGGTTTAGAGTGACTTATACAACTTACTGGATTGGGGCTCTCCAGCACCATGGTTAATGATACCTAATGATACCTTAATCATAGTAGTATGCATATAATGTGACACTTTTCCCAAAGTAAAACCTATCAATCATTGTAATGAGCCAGCAAATGTGTTTCTGATGCTTTATTTACTGTACTATTTTAAGGTATTTAAACACAAAAATATTTTAAATGTAACAAATAAAAGCTAGGCATTATCTCTCCTAGACCACATACTAACTTGCTTTTCTTCACTTACTGTACATTTTTCTGTAATTACATGTAGGAAATGTGTAGTCAGGCACATTTCAGATGGATTTCAGGTATTCAGAATTCTTTAAAAGCAGGGGACACTGAGAGACCCTGAAATTCTAATGTTTCTTGAAATCAGCAGATTTCTTTTTAGAAAACTGTATAACGAATTAAGAACTTGGTTCTGCATACTGCCAGACATGGTGGACATACAGTAATAATATCTGGCACAATACAGACTGGATCACCATAAATACTGTGTATACCTTTTATATGACCACAAAAGTGAGACAGTAGTGTCCTTCTCCTCACACTGCTAGGCTGTTAACTGTGACAATGTGACTTCTGAAAGTGAAAGTATAGCATTTTGGAAATAATATACGATACCTAAGAATATTACAATTACAATATACATAATTTTGAATAAACTGGTGAAACCTACTTAGGACAGACCAACACAGTATTTTTCTTTGCAATGCATACAAAGTCAGCAGAATATGCATCACCAACTCATTCCACAAATGAGATGCCAGGTATTGATGAGTTAACTCTGAACTACTTAAAAGCTCTGAATTAGTGAAGTGTTATTGACTGAGGATGATTGATTAAAAAAGAACCATTATTCCTTATTGATGGGGAAATGAATTATGAAGCAAGAATTGCATTGATAATTAAATCATTGTAAATGCTTGGCTGCTCCAACCAGTAAATTGTAGTCTGTATTTTAAAATTCAAATTCTTGAATACATGACACGCATACATAAACTCATAAACACATTTCAACATAAAGACATATACATTTCAGAACTACACAAAATGAAAGTAGGAATATAATTTTGGAATATAACTCTAATAGAACAGTTACAAAGCCAAATAAGCTACTGTAAATGAAACTCAGACCCCTTTAAAACGGCATCTCATTTTACAAAAGTATTTATGGAATTAGAAGTTTAATGAAGCCTTGTTACATTACCATATACAGTATTTCACTGCAGTACTTCACATTACTCTAGATCTTTCGTTTGCACTGTTTTCAGCAGCGACCCACTTCAGCTTCATCATACAACATAAGATTACTCTTGAGACCAATGTTTTCTGAAAGAAAAGAATATCATTTGCATAATGGAAATGTATTTTTTGTAGGAAGGCACATGGAAGTACTTTACTTGCGCACACAATGCATGTTGGTTCCATGCCTGGAATGAAGGCATACAGCAAGAGACTGTATTTTTGTGATCAGTTGTATGTATTTTTTAACCCTGAGCATGTACTCACCCTTTTGACCTTGTGTTCAGAAACGTCTCACGTCTCCAATTCAGCCATTGGCATTCAGATAGATTTTAAAAACTTGAGTGGCACTTTGATTGATATTGGAAGAGGTTTTCAGTATGACCTCAGAGACCTATTCAGCAATATCAATTCACCATTATTGCAGGAACCAGGAGAATTTTGGCTGAACATGAACAGAGCAGTGCTGTGGTTTTCCAGCAGCACATGATGTCTGGAGATACATGGCTTATTAATCCGATATTTATGGCTCCGAATTTAATCATGCTATTTCTGAATGGTTAACTACGGAACTACAGAACAAACTTTCTTGAAATATTCAACCACAACCACACGACTTAACTTCTAAGAATCATTCAGAGATAATGAAACAACCTTTAGAATACAAGTAATTTCATCAGCACTTCAATGTTAGATTAAATGATAATACAAATGTCTGAATAGAAAGGGTAGGATGCTTGTAATGAGAAATTATTTTGTCTACCATATTCCACTGTTAAATGGATTCTGTTCTTATTTACACTCTCCCTCTGATTTCTTAGAAAGTAAGGATACAGCTTCATTTGAATCACTAGGTTGTGTCAGGCAATCAGCTTTAAAAATGAATCTGGTACTGTAGGCGTTAGGATAATTCTTTGAGATTAAGTATAGAATTATCCCGTGCAAAAGTACTTTAACAAATGTGCATGCATCACCTTTTACCCCTAAGAACGTGCAATGTTTATGATGCAATTTAAATGACAAAATTAGGAAAAATGAAGGCAAAAAGTTTGCTCTTAAAATCCCTGTCAGTAACTAAGCATATGAATTACTGAGTCATAATTAAAAGAAAATCAACTAATTTAGTGAGATTACTTTAAATCACAAATGAGGTTTTGAGTCAATTACTTTTATTATTACCAAAATTCAAATGCTTATCTCTCTTGAAGGTCAGGCTGTTATATAGAAGAACACCTTGAGAAACCATCTTACTAAAAATCACCATAATGATAACATTAATGTCTGTGCAATCAGGCTTCATAGACTGTCTCATTCTTATTTTTAGTTAAATTGTATTGAACTACACCTGAAATGCATACAGTACTGTACATACTGTTTATACAGTTTACTTCAAGAATATTCCCAACATGTATCCCTGTTTTTTCTCTTAGAGAAACTAAACACAATACAAAAGAGCACAAGGTGAAACAGCTGTGATCTGACAAAATGAAATCAAGTTCACAACAATGGTACAGCTTCTTTAGCATGAGAAAAGAATTCATCTTTTGGAAAGTTAAATTGACTCCACCTGGTACTGTATATTTCTAGAAAATAAAAATGATTCAAATAAAACTTGTTTAGTTATCCAACAAGCATTACATTAGGGGAATAGAATTTGTTACACTGTATGGGACCTACTGTATTGCCCTGTCTTAGGTAGCATTGCACTGGCTGGAGGCTAACATGAGTGAATTAATTTGTGATACCATGATTATTCCTGCCTCCTCCATATTAATCTGTATTCAGTTCTGGATTATATACTGTAGGATTCATTAATATAGTTAAAAGTTTATATGCCAACAGTTCAACAATGGTATTAAGAGACAAGTGTTCTCTAGAGGTACTCATCAGGGATGCCCACTCTCAACTCTGTGGTTTACCTTATATTTGGATCCTCCAGCTTTTTTATTACAACCCTTATTTCTGTCAGCAACATTCAAAATTGCATATCACTCATCACAGATGTACATTATTATTATACAATATGTAGACAGTCTACCAATCTCTGCTTCATTTATTATTTTTAGGACTTCTGTGCTCACAGTAGAATATTAATTGATCAAGGTCTACAGTGTATCACTGCCTTTAAAGTTTTCATTTGAGAAGCTGGTTTATTTCAGATTGAGATGCTGGTTAAACACTTTAGATACCATGGATTTATTCCTGTTTACACTCCAACACAGTAACTCATATTAGTAATTTGTTTAGATGCAAAATTGAAACCTTTTTCCATTCTCTTCAAACTCACATCTCTCCATTATAATAATTATTGTGTTTCATTAATTGTTTCGGTTATTAAGTACGATTCCTCTCGCTTCCTCAAAGGGCAGTTATCTGGTACAAACTTGAATTTCCAAATTCATATGGCAATATACTGTAAGTGAATCTACTGTATCTCACATTATCCACTCCACAAGAAAGATTTGCAGGGGACCAAGCTACAGTATGTCCAACTTTAAATCCTATTTTTACACCCTCTGTTGTATGATCACTACTGGTTTCCATTCTGAGTCTCCTGTATCATGGCACCCACTTGAAGGGAAATTCAGACTCTTAATATAGACTTCAATATGCACTTTATTTTACTGTTCTCCTGTAACATTGTAGATTACATTTTTCCCTGATAATTACAATTTGGCATTTGGGGAAAATAAGCACGCAATGTCCTGAAAATCATCTGATTCCCACTCCATAATCCATAATCATGGACTCTTAACAGATAAGTACCCTTTCTCTGTTACACTTTGGAGTGGTAAAGTGATTCACATGATAGCACATATTTTGAAAATGTCTATGAATGCTCCAGGACTTATCCATGACAA